ACTATCATGCCTTGCAACGCGTTCTGCGCTATCTCAAAGGCACTTTGAATCATGGTCTTCTTTTTCGCAAGGGGGGATTCGACCTATCTGTCTACTCTGACTCTGACTGGGCCAATGATAAAGATGATCGCAAGTCTACCACGGGCTACATACTCCTACTCGGTCCTAATATCATCTCTTGGTGCACGAAAAAACAGACTCGTGTTTCTAGATCATCCACTGAAGCTGAGTATCGAGCTATGGCTGCAGGGGTTGCAGAAGCTATGTGGCTTCGATATATCACTGATGCACTGGGTATTCCTCCGTCCAAACCGAAGTTATACTGTGACAATGAGTCGAATATCCGTGTCACCAAAAATCCGGTTCTTCATGATCGCATGAAGCATGTGGGCACAGACTGTCACTTTGTACGAGATGAGGTTATGGCAGGCACTATGACTCCACATCATGTTTCCTCCTCAGAGCAGCTAGCAGACATTCTTACCAAACCGCTTCCGCCATTTCATTTTGAGTACTTATGTTCCAAGCTGCTCCTCGTCTCCGTTGATCAGCTTGCGGGGGGATATTAGGAAGTATAATTAAATTAGGATACTTCTTTCCTTTCCTACTAGGATTATTCTTTCCTTTCCTACTTGTACTTTGATTACTCTTGTATTCCCTATATATAGGGCCATATCTCTCAATATTCAATAAGACAAGTTATTATCAAATTGTATCAGGGTCAACGGCACACCTTCGATGTTGTTAACGGAAAGGTAGATGAACAGAACTTCTGAAGTATTTCCTCGCTATCACACTTCGTTGTCCTCCCAACACTCTCTAGATCAAGTGCCCTAAAGTGGTCACCCTAGGCCTCTATTTATAGGTAGAATAGGGTATGTGGATGGTTTTTTTTTAATTTAGTTAAATAAAATTTTTAAAAATAAAGTCTCTCTTAAATGAGAGATGCAATGAATGGGATGGGGAGGAGGATACTACGCGTTGGTTTAATGAGAGATGCAATGAATGCAAAGTCTCTCTATAAAACTTATAGCGTTAAGTTCCACATTTTTCACACATCATTTTAACATAATTTGTTTGTCAAGAAAATAGGTTCACTTGAACAAACTATATTATTCAGATAGTAGAGAACAAAAACTAATTTTATTCCCTTTCACTTTATTCTATTTTTTTCATCTCGACTAGTAATTAATCACTTAATAATTAAATTCCAAATTGATTGTTTTTTTAGATAACTAAAAGTAACATTTTTTTAAAAAAAACTACTCTTTTCTTTGTACTAGAAGATTAAAATTTCTAGACCAGTTTTCAGGGCGTTACAGAAATGCATAATTTTGGGAATTGATAGTTAAACATCGAGTAATTATCGCATGGAGGATATAACTCACCTTCAAAACTTGACATCGAAAGCTGAGAGAGAGAGAGACATATAGAAAGCTTAGAGACTGAAGAAGAACCCTAGCTAATTTTGACGTAAGGTTTCGTAGGAAGGGGATAATGGTGTTGGAGGGAGAAATAGTGTGAAATAACCTAATTGCCCTCCATTTAACTGCAGTGTGACAGAAAAAGAAACGGAGGACCATTTGTGGCATGGTATCCAATTAGTAAAGACTACAAATTTAATAATTGGTAAATAAGGACTAAATATGGAAACCCCTCCTGATATAAAGGATCATTTAAAGAATTTACTCATAATTTAATGTAATTTTTAAAAATTTTTGTAAGTTTTAATTTTACATCAATATGGCAATAACTAGAATCAAAACTAATCTAATTATAACATATCATAAACAAATACTCCTATGACATTGATTTAGAGGTAAAAAATGCATCTTATTTATCAATTGATTTTTTTTTTTGTGGGGGGAGTGATTTGAGACTTTTATGAAAGAAAATTTTTCGGCCATCCTATTATCTATCCTAATTTTATGAACCTTACTATATTAACATCATAAAATAATTGAGTCCTTTTTAAGAGTTCCTATATCGTACAACCGGATGTACCTAGAGATAGGTACATCTGGGGTACTACTCACTCTGAAGTGGAGTAGTACTCATTCTCGCACAAACATAACTATAATGTGATACTTATTCTAAAAAATGTAGTACTAATTCTAAAATAATATAGTATTCATTTTTCACAAATTTATTCAATATAATTATAAAATTTATCTACAAATAACGTAATGTACATTTTGAAATAAAATAGTACCCATACTTAAAAAACTTAATGTTCATTCTCAAATAAATAAAATTCATACCATAAATATTTTTCTTTTTTCTCTCACTAGACCTGCAACCCTCCCCTCCGATCCAGATCGATCGACTCCTCCAGGGGGTTTTTCATACAGCTTCTCCCATCTCTCCTCCGGCGGCCTATCAACAGCTTTCTCTATCGACCGTACACATCTCCCTTCCATACAACCGCTTTGTTCCTCCTGATCTGACGCAGCTCTTCTTAGACATAGCATCCTTCCTCTGACCCAACCCGACTACGACCACCTCTTTTCTCCTCCGATCGACGCCTTTTCTTCTTGTATTTACTGGTTGTACCCAATTTTGGGTACAACCGGTTGTATGGTATAATTTGTGCCTTTTTAAAAAAACATATGAAAAATACTAGGGGTACACCAAATGTGTACCCCATTTGTCCCCACCCTCTCCTTGTCCACAAAAAAAGGCAAGAAATTCAAAAAAAATGAATAAATAAAAATAAAATAAAAATGGGTGGTGGAGAAGGGGGTGGTGTACGCCTATCATTCCTCAAAGCATATTCACTTACAGATCCATAAAAAGTGCTACTCCCTCCGTCCCAAAAAGTATTTCCTGTTTCATTTTTTGCGCATCCCATAAAACACTTCTACCCACATCTAAAATATCTAAAATTTACAACATTTCTTCTTTATTGTGGGTAAAATTATTTTGAAAGTTTTTTTGGCATTCAAGACGGGATAGAAGTGTTTTATGGGATGCTCAAAAAATGAAACGGGAAACACTTTTTGGTACGGAGGTTCATCTTATTATCAATGATGACAGTAATTATAAAGGACTGAGCTTCTCTCTCTAGCGATCGATCTGAACAGTACGTCGATGCTAGTTCCGTTCAATTACTGGCGTTCTCCGGTGGATTTCCCCAAATTGGCTTCAGATTCTTCTTCTCCACTCTAAGGCGAGGCTATTCATCCAATTTTCAGAGGCTCTCACGAAGATTTGGGCTGGCAGCGACGAACTAGGTTTCGCAGTTACTGTTCCTCTTCCTAATCCTCGAGCTTCACCATGGAAATTTGGTAAGTGTGGCTGTGATTTCTCCTTTTCCCACCTTGTTTGATGGCGAAGAAAGGAAAAAAGGGGAGTAGAAATCCCACCCCTCCCCTCCCACTCCTCCAAACAAGAAGGAACTCCAAGAGTTTCTTCATGGTATCGATGATGATGTTGTGGAGATGGTGGGAACTTCTGCTGCTGGGTCTGGGTTTGATGGAGAAACTGGAATGTTTGGCGAGGATGATGGGGAGATTATTGAAATTGAGGAGATTATTGAAATTGAATTGCTAAAGGATAAAAGCAACCCTGCTGATATTGAATTACAGTCCAAAGAGGTGAATTTGCAAAAAGTTTCTGTTCGTGAAGATACTAGTGTGCCTACTGCTAAGGGAGTTCCTGGCCTTTGCAGTAACCATTGCAATGAGGTGAACTTGGATATACCTATGGCAAACCAGAAGAAAGTTTCTGCCAAGGAACCTGCCTGTGTACCTACTACAAGTTTCGAAGACCAGGCCATGGACACACCTGTTGTGAAAAAGACCTACGCATCAGTATTTGAGAAGAACAGGGCTGAGGAGAAAGGAATGAAATTGTTCCATCTGGAAATGGGAGAGGATGAAGATGTTTGTATTCAACCCGAAGACTTAAAACCCATTGAGGAGATTTGGGGTCCTTGCCTCATAGGATGCTTTACTAGTAGGTTCCCAGGGCTTGAACCTATCCAGCATCTTGTGGATACTTGGAAGGTACCCTGCCAAATCCTCCCACACCATAGGGGATTGGTCATCTTCAAGTTTTTGACCATGGAGGATAGGGATAAAGTGCTGAATTCTGGAAGAAGAAGGGTCAACAGCAAAAAACTTCTTCTCAATATCCCACAGGATGGTTTCATGTGGAATGCTAAATCCTTTTCGGCCATGCCTGTGTGGGTTAAACTCTTGGATGTTCCAATGCAGTTTTGGTCCCCTACTAGCTTATCCAAGATTGCTTCAAAATTGGGTAAACCTCTCTTTACTGATGGCCTAACCAACATGGTTGCATCCAAGATGACTCTTGAAACCGATCCCGATGATAAGGTACCCTACAAAAAACCAAACTTTTGTAGAGTCCTTGTGCACATGGACCTTTCCAAGCCACCCCCAACATCGGTCAATGTGAAATATCCTGGAGGTTATTACAGTCAACTTGTTGAGTATGAGGAGTTGCCTCTCTACTGTTACCACTGCGAATCTTTTGGCCACACACCTTTTGATTGTAATGACCTATATGACATTGAAAGAAGGAAAACCATGGAGGAGCAAAGGGTGTTGGAGAAAGCTAAAGTGGAATTGATGAAAAAGACAATTATGGCCGAGACAGAGACTCCACAGGAGACCAAAAACACCCCTACTTTGGATGAAAATATGGCAACCAAGGCTAAGGAGAAGGAAGCCAGGTCCAAAGGGAAGGCGGCCCTATTGGAGGTAAACACCACAGACCCATCTCCATCCTTCTCTAAACTTGATGATGATGATGAGTTTACCGTTGCGGGAAAGGGGAAACTAACAACACATCCTTTAAAAGAAACCACCCAAGCGCCAAAACAACCTCCCTACAGAAGGGAGACTAGGGGGACTGGCCGTGGACAGAACCATGGGTACAGAGGGGGCACTAACAGAGGAAGGGAAAGGAGCCAGGCCCATGAAGGTACTATGCTGGAACATTAGAGGCCTTAACAGGGCCTCTAAACAAACTTTTTTGTGTAAATATCTTTTTGATCTTGGTGTGCACCTATGCTGTATTTTGGAAACCAAGATGAGCAAACATAAGCTCAACCTTTTTGTCAAAAAATAAGCTACCTTCCTGGTCCTCAACGAATAATTCTGCAATGATAAATGATGGAAGAATGGCACTTTTTTTGGAATCCTCTTTTTGTTTCTTGTAATGTGTTGCAAACCACTGATCAATACATCCACTGTAGTGTTGTGTGTGCTATCTCAAAGAAATGTTTCCACATTACTTTTTGTTTTGCTCTGTATGATGTAACTGTGAGGAGAGATCTTTGGGAGAGATTGTCTCTTGTTGCAGGTAGGATAACCACTCCTTGGGCAATTATGGGTGACTTCAATTCTGTCTTGAATTCCAGTGAAAGGGTCAACTGTCATGCTTATGCCATGACTGACCTACTTCAATTTCGATTGAATAATGACCTACTTGATGCTAAATCCACTGGACTACAGTTCTCATGGAATAGAGGGAACAAATGGGCAAAACTTGACAGGGTTTTGGTCAATTGTGAGTGGGAGTTGCTTCAATGGGAGTGTTGGGCAGAATTCAAAAACATGGAGTTTCTGTTTGACCACTGCGCAGTACTACTCCATCTTATTCAGAGTTCTACTAATGGACCAAAGCCCTTCAAGTTCTTCAACATGTGGATGAAACACGAGGCTTTTGACAGAATTGTGGAAGATGTATGGCATTTCAGAGTGACACGCACCAGACAGTTCAGACTTTGCAAGAAACTTAAAATGCTGAAACAACCTTTGAGACAATTGAATAAAAGAGAGTTTGGGCATATTTCATCTAGAGGTGAGCACACAAGGAGCACCTACTCTGATGTCATGGGGCAACTACTCATGAATCCGAGCAACCCTTCTCTCATTGCTGAAGCTGATCTTCTAAGAAAGAAAGTCACCTTCTTCAGTGATGCGGAGAGGGTCTTCTTCCAACAAAAGGTCAAATGTGTCCTGATCAATGACGGTGATAAGTGTTCAGAGTTTTTTCACTCCCTGGTGAAGAAACAAGCTTCGATGAACTCTATACCTTTCATTGTCACGGATCAGGGTACAACCACTTCCTTGAATAGCATTGTGGAGGAGTTCCTGGCTTATTATAACACCATCTTTGGAAGTACAGTTCCAACAACACCCATTGATTGGAATGTCTTCAGAGAAGGACCTTTGCTTCTGGTGGATGAGTTACAAAATTTGACCAAGGATGTGGAGATAACGGAAGTCAAAGAGGCACTCTTTTCCATGGGAAATGACAAAGCTCCTTGGCCGAATGGTTACACGGTGGGATTCTTCAATCAGAAATGGAACACGGTTGGCAATACTCTCTTTGAGGCAGTCTCAGAGTTCTTCATCAGTGGCAGACTTCTCAAACAACTTAACCATGCTATAGTTGTTCTTATCCCCAAGGTTAAGGAGAATCCAAGAGCTAAAGACTTTAGACCCATTGCTTGCTCCAATGTGGTTTATAAGGTCATAACTAAGATTCTATCCAATAGAATGGCTACTCTCCTTCTTAACCTCATTTACCATGCTGAGGCTGCTTTTGTCCGGTGAAGAAGTCTTGTGGATAACGTCTTGCTGGCCCAACACTTGGTCAGGGGATATGCTCGGAAAAGATCCCCACCCTGTTGTATGTGGGGACTATGATACCATTGATTGGGACTTTTTGAAGAACACTATGAACGGCATGGGCTTTCCATCCAGATTCATTGGGTGGGTCATAGAATGTGTCACTACGGCCTCTTTCTCTCTATCTATCAATGGTGGACTGCATGGGTTCATCAAATGTAAGAGAGGAATAAGGCAGGGTGACCCCATGGCCCCTACCCTCTTCTTGTTGTGCATGGAGTACTTTTCGAGATTGATTAGAAGGATGCTTTGTGCTCCTCACAGAAAATCAACCATATAGCCTTTGCGGATGATGTTATGATGTTTGCCAGGGGAAACATTGATTCAGTGTCAATCTTAGCAAAAGCCATACACACATTTTCCCAAGTTTATGCCCTTCATGTGAACCCCCAGAAATCAAACATTTATCTTGCGGGAGAGATCAAGGATAATAGACAAGACATATTGGACTTGGTCTCCTTCCCTGAGGGGAAACTTCCGGTTCGATATTTGGGTCTGCCTCTTACCTCCCAGAGGGCCTCTGAAAGGGACTTTGCCCCATTGGTCAACAAGGTTGATGAGAATATCAGGAAATGGAACGCCAAAACTTTGTCTGTAGCGGGGAAAGTGGAAATTCTGAGTGCCATACAAGGAATTGAAGGTTTTTGGCTCCAAGCCTTCCCCGTCCATAAGTCTGTCCTCAACAAAATCACCTCCCGATGTTGAACTTTCTTGTGGGGGGGGGGGGGTAAGTTCTCCAAGGTCGCATTGGAAGATATCTATAAGCCTAAGGATGAGGGGAGACTGGGCCTTAGAGATTCTATGGTGTGGAACCAAGCTCTTTTCGCAAAGAACCTTTGGAACATCTCGGCTAACAAAGAAACACTGTGGGTCCAATCGGTGTATGCAGTGTATCTAAAGGGGCAGGACATCTGGACTTGGAGTCCCAGGAAAAAAGACTCCCACTTCTTCAAAAATATTCCTGAGGTCAGGAATGCTGAAATGTGGGGACAGATTTGAGATTGAAAACAGGCTTTGCGATTCGGGGGACATTTTATTGCTAAGCTCTACGATCTGCTGAGGACTAGGGCTGACATGAGGCCTTGGATGAGGGCCATCTGGAAACCCTATATCCCACTATTTGGAAACCCTATATCTCACTGAGATACTCCTTCACCACATGGTTGGCGTTTCGGAGGAGACTTCTGACCAAAGTTAACCTTCCCTTCATTACCATGGACAACAGAACTTATGAGTTGTGCAACAAAGAAGACGAAACTACCCAACACCTCTTCTTTGGTTGTGAATATGTTTCTCTCATTTGGGGAGCCATTAGGAGTTGGTTGAAGATTATTCGTGCCCTTATCCACACTGGACAGGGCCATCTCCTGGGTAAGGAGACCAGGCAAGGCTCACTGTTCTAAAAGGAAGATGTGGAGACTTGCTATCTTGACTACGGTCTACTACACTTGGAAACTCAGGAATGGAGTTCGCTTTGACAATGAGGCTGTTAACATTGATGCCGTCACCAAAATAAAGGTGGGGTGTACAAGGTTGTGAACAGATTGTACCCCCATCACCTCCTGGACCTTTGATGATCTCTTGGAATTGTGCTGATTTATTGACTCTTTACCGATCACTTTGGCTGCCGCTTGTTCCAATGATAATCTTTTGAGGAACAATGGCTGATTCTACCTTCGGGTTGGAAATAGAATTAGCTCTCCTTATCCTTCTTTGGATCATTAGAGACTATTCTAGGTCCAAATTTGGATTGTGGAAACAAATTAAACCCTTAGTTACCTTACCTTGTGTGGGTAACTAAGGAGTGATTTGGATCCGTCACTTTCGGTGGTTTTGGGTGGTATAAATGATTTCTTATTTTATACTCATAGTATTTTACTGTAGATATTAAAGTATATTTTTTATATTTTATTTTACATTAATATTGAAAATGAATAAAATACAAACTAACTTCATTTCATCATATCATAATTAAATATAAATGTTTTAGAGGTTAAGAAAGTATATTTTTTTAGGGAAAGAAATTTTATTTATTCATTAATACTCCCTCTGTCCCACTGTATTTGTCCACTTTTCCTTTTTGGATGTCCCACTGTATTTACCCACTTACTATTTTTGGAGTATCAAAAGTCTTTTTGCCACTCCTTTTTTAATTTAACCCACCCCAATCTGTCACCCACTTCACATGTCCACTCCACCGTCATACACTTAGATTTACTCCCAATCTCTCTCATCCTCTTCGTATTCCAACCGTTTCTAGATCTATTCGCTTAGATCTACTCCCAATCTCTCTCATCTTCTTCGTATTCCAACCATGGAACCGTCATACACTGAGTTGGAATTGTGTTCCATCGTCCCTAAAACTCCAATTCCAACCATGGAATCCTCATTCTCTGAGTTTGAATTTTGTTCTTTCATCCCCGAAACTCCAGATTCGGTCGTAGTGAAGGCGATGGTTGGAAGTTCAAACCAGTCGCCCTCCGTGCATACGTCTGTGGATGGTGAGCCACTCTACCCTCATGTGGTTGTGCCTTATGTCCCTTCCCATTATGATCCATTCATTGAAGCCGCCAAGCTTGAATTTGACCCAAGGTTCAATGTGCCGGACTGGTACCATGATTCGTCTATGAAGGCACTTCTGAAGATATTGCTTCCATTGATGTTTAAGCAAGGGAGAGTGGTTCAACACATGAGCATGCCGGGGTGAAGGTGACAATCAAAGATTCTGACCAAACGCCCTCAATGGATGGAGACAAAGGGGGGAATGGTTCAACATCTGAGCTTGCCGGAGTTAAGGTGACGGTAAAAGATTCCAACCAGTCGCCCTATGTGCATGTGTCAATGGATGGCATCGAAGGGGCATTGGAAGCCGAGGAGTACAAATCTCCCTCATCTCCTGTAACCAACGACTATGATGATGATGTCAACTTTGTGCCTGAGTCGGAGGAGGTTGATGGTGAACCATTGTACCCCAAACTGGTTGTGGCCTAATTCAAACAAGAAAAGTATTGGTTCCTTCTTTTTACCTTATGCACATTTTATCTGTTGTTATGCTTCTGGTAATTGTGCACCGTGTGATGATTCTGTATTTGAATGTGCACTTGCATGTTTGAATCTGTATTTCTGTCCTTGATTGATTACTTCTCAGTATTGTGAAGTCCATGGATTTGTCCCTTGATTAGTACGTTGTGTATGAATTTGATGTCCCTCCATTGGTCTATGACGAATCTTCTAAAAGTATTCCCTAATAGAACTTAGCATTGCAAAGGCTTATTTTTTGATTGGTTGAAATTCATTGTGAACTCTGTTTAGACATAGTGGTTGTAGTCACTCCAATCACACAGGTGTGAGTGTAGAAGAGACTAAAAGGCAACCCAAATGACATTGTAGTCACTCCAATCACACACATGTGAGTGTAGAAGAGATTATCTCTGTCCAACCCTCTTTGTCCACATTCTTGTTGGACTAAAAACTAAAGAAGTTTTAATACCACACTTTTTTTAGGTTTGTTGAATGAACAGATACCTAATTTCTTCTTCCAAAAGCAATGGTACACTTTGTTTTTCAAAAGCCAATGGCTTTATTTGTTCCACTTTTACAAAAAAAAACTTAGTTGGTCTTTACAAAAAAGAACAGAAACTATACTTGGTTTTTTACAAAAATAAACAAATACTACACTTGGTTTACAAAAACAGTACACCTAGTCTTTACACTTAGAGTCAACTTGGTTTAATATAACAAGATCAGATATTACACTTGGTTTACAAAAACAGATAGTACACCTAGTCTTTACACTTACAAAAAGAGACTACACTTGGTCTTTACAAAATGCTTTGATCTTGGTTTCATATAACAAGAACAGATAGTACACTTGGTCTTTACAAAAGAAACCCACATACTATTACACTTGGTCTTTAGCAAAAGTTAGGCCACACACAATACTTGGTTTACAAAAAAGTGGCTAATTACTACACTTCTTCTTGGTCACAAACTACACTTGGTCTTTAGCAAAAGATTGGCCACAAACTACACTTGGTCTTTAGCAAAAGATTGGCCACATGCTACACTTGGTCCTTAGCAAAAGATTGGCCACATACTACACTTGGTCCTTAGTTGTCATCATCCATAAAATGTTCCACTGCATCAACATCCAACATCATAGTCCAGTCCACTTCTAGCATGCTAAAAAAGTGTTGGGCTTTGGCTAATGCCTCATTAGTAATGCAAACTGAGATGGGTAGTTCTCCATGCCTCAAGAGTGTATTCTTTTCTCACATGTGGGATCTTGTATGCATTATGATGGAGGACGACCCCAAAAGACACGTCATCCGGGACCCATTAGCCACATGGAGGATCTTCTCTGCTCGGCCCATGAACTCGGCTCGCCCTATGGGTTCGGCTCGGGTAGCGAGCTCGGCTGGGGACCGTGATAGCGACCGGCCACGTTGACTGCACGACAGCGACGGGATGAAAGGGACAACACATAACAGGGATGACGTCTGCTAGGCGACGAACCTCGATCAGAGAAACTTTGACTATGTGTATTGTATCCCCTATAAAAGGGGTGAAACCCCTCATTGTAATGGATCGAAGTAAGAAACGAATAAACTCCTACTTTGCTCTCTCTCTCTCTCTAAAACTTATATTATTCTTCATTCTCGATGGTTCTTGACCATCAAATTGGTGCTTTCATTGAGAGCTGAGGAACATACTCGTAGGTTAACTCCTCAACGCGAGAATGGTGCAAACCAGGAGCAACGTTCCCACCACCAGCCACGTCGGCGGCGAGGAGGTCGCTCCGGGCAGCGGCAACGGCACGGGTAGCATCGCTTCGACTCCGGACGCGGTCCAGTCGCTGTTCGGATTGGGGGTGACCACGGAGCAACTCCAGGCGGCCGTTGCGGCACTTTCTGCCATGGGTGGGAACGTGCCCGGCGCCGGGGTTGGCAAAGCTCCGCTCGGTCACCACACCGAGCACGCTGCCACTTCCCAACACAAGGGAAAGAAGACGCGGAGGAGCAGGAGGAGGCCCGGCAAGGGCCCGCTGATCGAGGAGGTGTTGGTGTAGGACGTCCCAGAAGGGGAGGACGATGAGTCCAGTGAGTGTAGAATCTCGGCCTTCAAACGCTTGGGAGGCGAGGATACCCGAGTGTCGGCCGTCTAGGTGATCTTCGCCGGCAGATTTCTGAGGGTAGGCGGAGGAACGCTGAGGAATCAGTGACCTTGGATACGCGCTCGGCGAGACCTGAGCGAACCGAAGGCCGAAGGGACGAGCGAACTCAGCGTCGCCAGAGCCCATCCAGAACCGAGAAGACTAAGGTCCCTGAACGGGGTATGACTGAGCTTGCGCGCGACATTGCCGAGCTCAAACGCCGAGTAGAGACAAAGTCCCCCTACAGCCAGCCCATCTTGCGCACGGTAACCCCGTTTACATCGAGGGTGATGTCAGTTCCGCTGCCGACAAACTTCCGTCCGTGGCAGATCAAGGCTTACAGCGGGACGACGGATCCCCAGGATCATTTGTCAAAATTCTACGCTTCGATGGAGGCGGCGACAGCCCCGGACGAGGTCAAGTGCAGGTGCTTCCTCGCGACGCTAGAGGGCTCCGCGTGCGATTGGTTCAACCGGCTCCAAAACGGAACCATTGACGATTGGGATACGCTGGCGGAGAAGTTCTTGACGCATTTCGCGGCCAACCGAAGGCAAAGGCTGCCTTATTCCCACCTGCTCAACATATGCATCCGCAAGGGAGAAAAGGTCCGCGACTTCATAGTCCGGTGGGAGAAGGAAGCCAGAGACGTGCATGGGGCGGATGACCAGGCGTTGGTTGCCATGTTCCAAGCAGCCCTCCCCCGCGGAGA